CTCAGAGTTGGCCTGCTCCTATGTTCTGTGTGGCTTAATAAATCTGCTTTCTCTCGTTTTCTGCTATAAACTCTGTGTATTCAGTTCAATTTTTGGTCCACTATCACCAAGAACCTGGTTATCTGTGCCCACCTATGATAAAAACTACAAAACATTGTTGAACAAAAAAGGTATTTTCCATGTTCATGACAAGGAAAACATATTGTTAAGATGTCAATAATGACCAAATTAATGTACCTATCAAATGCAATCCTTGTTGAAACCCGTTTTCTTTCTTGCAGAATTTCATAAGCTGATCCTATAATCCACATGGTAATGCAAGAGTCCAGAATAAACAAACAGTTAGAAGAGAACAAAAGTTAAAGGACTCACACTATCCAAATCAAATTTTACTACAAAGGTCAGTAATCAAACAGTATGGCACTGGCATAGAGAGAGACATGCAGATAACTGAGACAACTGAAAGTCCAGAAATAAACTCTTATTTATGGTCAATTAATTTCCTACAAGGGTGTCGAACTAATTCAGTGTTGAAAGAACAGTCTTTTCAACAAACAGTGCTGGGATACTGGATATGAAGTTTTAACCAATTACCTGACACTATATATAAAAACTAAAACAAATCAGAGAAAGAAATATAATAGCTAAAACCATAAAACTCTTAGAAGAGAACAGGTATAAATCTTTGTGACCTTAGGTTAAGTTACTTTCTTAGTTATGATCCAAAAGCACAGCAACAAAAGAAATAAATACATAAGCTGAACTACATCAAAATTAAAAACCTAGGTTCTTGAAAATAAAACCATTAAGAAAATGAAAAGATAACCCAAAAAAGAGGAAAAAGTATTTGCAAATCAAGTATCTGATAAGGAACTTGCACCCAGAATATATAAAGAATCTTACAATTCAACAATCAAAAAACAAAGCAATTAAAAATGGGCAAAGGATTTAAGAAAACATTTCTCTAAAAAAGATATACACATGACCATTAAGCACGTGAAAAGATACTCAAAATCATTAACCATTAGGCAAATCCAAATCAAAGCCACAAGCCATAATATCCCTTCATAAGCACTAGGATGACTGCAATCAAAACCGCAATCAAAACCACAAACAAAACAAGTATTGCTCAGAATGTGAAGAAACTGAAGCCCTCATACCTCCCTGGTGGGAATGTAAATTGCTGCAGCCACTTTGGAAAAATTCAGGAGTTCCTCAAAACGTTAATCACAGAATTACCATATGATCCAGCAATTCCACTCCTAATGAAAACATAGTTCACAAAAATTTATACATGAATATCCTAGGCAGCACTGTCCACAATATCCATAAAGTGACGACCCAAATTTACATCAATGATAAAAGATAGAATGTAGTATATCCATACAATGAAATATTATTCAGCCATAGAAAGAAATGAAGTGCTATACATACAAAATGAATGAACCTTGAAAACATAATGCTAAGTGAAAGAAGCCACAAATGACTACATACTATATTACTTCTTTATATCAAAAGTCCAGAGTAGACAAATCTATTGAGATAGAAAGTAGATAAATGGGTCTAATTTGGGGGCTGCAGGACTATGACAGTAGGAAGTCAAGTCACTGCTAAAGAGCATAGGGTTTCTCTTTCCATTGATAAAAATGTTCTAAAATTGGATTTTGGTGATGGTTGCACAACTCTGTGAATACATTAAAAACAATTGTACATTTTGAATTTTATGGCATGTGAATTACATCTCAGTAAGATCAAGATGTAACTCAAATGTCATTAAATATATGAAAGTCTAATTTAAAAACATGAGAAAAACATAGAAAAAGAATCAACCTGGTAAAAAAGAAAAGCAAATAGGTATAGGAAGACCAGCTACTAGATCTCTGCAATAGTCCAGTTGTGAGGATGTTGACTTGGACTAGAGTGGTATGTAAAGAAAAACACAGAGAAAAGTGTAAAGATTTCAAAGACAGACTTGAAAATGTAGACGTGAATAAGGAGGAAGAAGCAGGTATCGAGAACGACTTGCATTATGCATTTACTTCTTTGCTCTATTTCTGCCAGCAGTTGGTCCAATCTGGTTCAAAAAGATGATCTTTGAAATGGGTCACAATGATGAGCAGAAGTTTGCCAGACTGGGAGAAGAGAACAGTCTAGAAGAGAACAGGTATAAATCTTTGTGACCTTAGGTTAAGTTACTTTCTTAGTTATGATCCAAAAGCACAGCAACAAAAGAAATAAATACATAAGCTGAACTACATCAAAATTAAAAACCTAGGTTCTTGAAAATAAAACCATTAAGAAAATGAAAAGATAACCCAAAAAAGAGGAAAAAGTATTTGCAAATCAAGTATCTGATAAGGAACTTGCACCCAGAATATATAAAGAATCTTACAATTCAACAATCAAAAAACAAAGCAATTAAAAATGGGCAAAGGATTTAAGAAAACATTTCTCTAAAAAAGATATACACATGACCATTAAGCACGTGAAAAGATACTCAAAATCATTAACCATTAGGCAAATCCAAATCAAAGCCACAAGCCATAATATCCCTTCATAAGCACTAGGATGACTGCAATCAAAACCGCAATCAAAACCACAAACAAAACAAGTATTACCAACAAGTAGTTGGTAAGGGGAAGAAGAGGTCATTTGAACCTGCATCCAAAGCAGAAAAATAGCAAAGCTTACATGCAGCTAAAGAGACACATGGACTATGAAGGCCTGCCAGGTATGAGGGCCTCCAGGCAATAGGAAGCCAGAGGTTTTTAACTGAGCAGAGAAGTTGATTCTTGGCCTTGAAAAAAGGTAAACCCAGCACTAGGTATGAAGAATAAACTGGGAAGAAGAATGACCAGTTAACTTATAAAGAAGGCTGTTGCCCAAGACCAAGAGAGACCTTCATAAACCATGACCAAGACTACTGATCAGAATCAAGTAAGGGTGGACAACAATGCAAAAAATAACCCCTAAAGAAACCTGGCATATAACCTTGTGCCTCCACAACAAATTACAAATAGGGGACCCAGATAATAGATAAGGGTTGATGTATTACGCATTCACACCCTTCTACCAGCCACCTCCACCTACAAGGACAGGGAGCAGTTTGGGGCCCCTGTGATACAGAGTGTTCTAATATTCCTTGCAGACTGCCTGAGAGAACCGCATTTTGGACTAGCCTCTATGAGAAGCAGAGGCACCACAGAGACCCCTTCACCTGCAGTATCTTTGTCATCATGTTTTAATTTGCACTGCTTATTGCTGGATCGATAGTGAAGCAAAGCATACTCAACTAAGCCTGAGCTGTCATTCTTGCCAATTCCTAGAGGAAGATGGGTTAATTTTCTTAAGAAACCATGATGTCCTAATACCTGATTTTTACAGGTTATTTTAGGTAAAACTAGAAACATCTGAATTTATTAAATTCTATGTTCTAATTTCTTCTCTTTGATCCTTTTAGGTTCTAACAAGGAATTTCCAGATATTTTATGAAAATTTACTCTCAATTCGCATTCATTAAGTCACAAAGACAAAAAATATATAGAACATGCTGCATATTACTAACTGTACTTGTAATCCTTTTGTATTTCATGTATTGTTGCTATACCTAATGTAATGGAAATTCCAGTGAGACTAAGCTTATGCAAAAGTCGGTGGCATTCACAGCTCTAATCACTCCAGTGCCAATTTACTTTCCAGCTAAATTTCTCAATATTCTGCCTATCATGCCACACTTATATTTCCCCTAAACACCACTCATGTTCATATTCCCTGCCGTGTCTCTGTCTGAAATAAACAAATAACAAATGAAATAAGCCATCATACTCCACAACACCCACTATTAGTCAGATATTTGGTGCGCAATTTACATTACCACCTAATCTTCACAGCAGTCATACAGAGTTGGTATTGTTTCCTATTTTATTCACAAGAAAGTTGAGGCACAGAAGAGTTGGTCTAAAAGCCCTCTCTAATATTAAGTTCCATTGCTTAGTAAGGAATGGAACCTGTTTCATCCCGCAAAACCTTAACCTCTCAAGTCTTCCAGTCTCCCCCAAATGACTGATCATATGGGTCTTGGGGGTATGACAGCCTTGTGCTCTCACCAAACCTTTAAAATTAACACAGGCTTACAATCACCAGTATCTTCCTCACTATTCCAGGAGCTGCTTAAAGACAGCAATCATGACTTAACTCGTTTTGCACTTCTGCTTAAAAGACTATAGGTACTCAATTAACTGTACGTCAAAATTAAATGACTAGTCCTCTGGCAAATTGCTATTACACCTTTCATGATCCCTTTAGATTTTCCCCATCTGGCAAGTGAAAGGAATATAGCTTCAACTGCAATCCCTCAGAACGACTGTTACCCTCTTTTACACACCTTCCTCCCACTGTACTATATTGCTAATGAATCTGTCTCCTCCCACCTCAAGGGCAAAATCAACGTCATCCACAATTGTGTCCCAAGAGCTGAGCACAGTAACCGGAAGACGAAAAAGTGCTCAAAATTGTTTAATTGAAGTGGATCAGTACCCCCAAACTAACTTTCTAGGATAAAATGAACAAGAGGGAAAAATTGTTCCAGCTGAACAGCTTTAAATTTAAAATTCTTCAGAATAATAAAGGGCATTCTCACTGGAGCTTCTAAAACTCTCCCCCCTAACATCTTCGTTCACAGAAAGCAATTACAGAGTAAGAACAAAACCTAGAAGCAAGTATCACACGCCGGGTTTATTGACCTTAGCTCGTCTAGAGATGAGGGCGTAAGCTGCCTTTCTGTCTTCGGCGCTGAGTGGGGCCACTTTTACTGCTAAACTGCACCACAGTGTTCAACACATCTTTAGGCACTGAAAGCGCTAAACAACTGCAATCTATGTTAGGGTAAGGGAGGAGAGGGAGGTCGACCCCCGCCGCTCAGCGGCCAATGACGTCAGCCTCAATATTTGACCTTGCGACACCTTCCTAGGACCGGCGGCCGCCAGCGCCTGGCCACTCACCCCGGTTCTCCTCCTCCAGGTACCGCACCCTCAGCTCGTCCTCCGTCTTCACCTCAGAGCTGTAGCCCCGCCGCAGGGTCGCCCCCCCGGCGGCGGGCACCCAGCCCCGGGCCCAGGTCGCCCAGCTGACCCCCAGGCCGGTGAAGGAGCCCTGTAGTCTCCACCCAGGGCCGAACTGCGCAGAGTAAGCGGCCGCCAAGCGGGTGCGGCTAGCCTGCAAGGCTCCCAATGCCCCAGGTACCGCTCCTACCGCCATATTGTCTGTTTACGGCGCGGGCCTGCGGCTGCTGCCCCACCCCCGCCACGCTCTCGCCGCCAGGCGCGCCCAAGCCCCGCCCCGAGCCGCACTCTCTGGGCCCTGTCCCAAAAGCCCGGCCAGCCCACGCGCGCTAGACCGCGCCCCTCGCCGACTCGCTCCGCCCAGGCCCAGAGACAACGTTGGAGATTCCATTTTCCCAGGCCTCTGTTGCCTGGCAGCGAGCGGCTTTAATGGCTTGTCCAGCAAAGGCAAGGGGAAAGTAAATCTCCAAGGCTGTAGAATAATTATATAAGAGGTCCCCGCAGGGAGTCTCCTCCTGGCACTCCCTGGGCTACACCCTTGGGGTTCTCTGTTAGCTTGAAAGATGGACTAAAATGTGTGTCTGAGGTTTGGTTGACAGTGCAGCAGCTCTGCATGGGACCCTGGTTTACTACTTACTCTCATGAGAGCCAGGGGTTACCAGTTAAACGTGCCTGTAAACGTACGTGATGCTTATTCTATAGAGTTCAGGAACGGGTGAGAACAGCCAGTAACAACAGGGGTCCTCGAGCCCACCGACTCAGGCTGGTGAGATGGCCCTTCCGGAGTCCCAGGAAGGCACCATCGTATTAATAAAAAGCGCTCAGCCAAATCGCTTGTTCAGTGGGATTTAGAGAAGATGGCTCCTTCCTCAGCCAAAAACGCAGATCAACTTAGTGTATAGGTGCTCAAAGAAGCCCCTTGGTTAGAATTTTCTCCTGCCTAGCTTTTATCAAATCTTAACAGAAAAAAGTTCTGTTTAGAAATATTGTCTGAAAAATATTCTGCTTTTGTAACGGGGCACATCCAGGGCCCCCCAAAAGGGTATTTGTAACAGGGTCCGGAAATTGGGGTGTCCAAGAAAAATTTATTCTTCCCCACCTCAAGGCAGACTGCAATGAGGGATGGGAGACCTGGAGAAGGGCCATTGAGAGTTGTTTTGCATGTTAATAACAAGATAGCTTCAGTCCTCACATGTAAAGATGGTTATTTTGCATATCACCAAGGCTAATCAAGAAGGTTTGAAAGACAATGCAGAATGTAACTGGGAGAGGGAGGAGGAGAGGCAGAGGTCTGCGGGGGAGACAAAGGGACACAGACTCTGGGGAACAGTGTGAAGACCACGCGGGAAGAAAGAGGGGAGAAAGGACTCTTGCTAGTGGGCCACGAGAAGGTGCCACATGGTTATGGATTAAAAGCTGGAGATCGTGGCGATGCAGTGGATGGTGCTGAGAACCGCGAGACTCCTGCCTAGCTGAGCCCTGGACTTCTGTTCTTTTTCTTCTGAAGGACGGCACCCCTGATTGGCCTGACTGGGCAAAGCGGGGAAGGTAGGACTCTGTGTGTGCTGGTGGTTGTTTTATAGGGATTTTGAGGTTTATGGGCAATATTTAGCCATTAATCAAACCTGTATAACTTTTGAATAAATAGTTCCTTTCCTTTTCACCAAACTGTCATTCAGAGCCATAATTCCAAGGGCGGCGGGCAAAGGACCTACAACTGAGGGACCCCGGGGAACGGGGGCGGCGCGGGGGCAAAGGGGGGCATTGTTTCAGTAACAGCACCTGGGTCCCCCGTCCCCCCACCGGTCTATTTGTTCAGTAACACTTTGAGCATACTCCCACTGCCACACAAATTTCAGCTATTGCACACTGACTACATTTGTTTGTCTAATTTTATTTTTCAATTAAAGTTTATGTTCAATGTTATTTTGTTAGTTTTAAGTGTACAGCATCTACTATGGGAATGTTGTTGAGAGCACTTTTACTCTACTGTAAAAATAGCACTTGTGAAATTTCTCTTGTAGTTTGGGACAAGGGGATACTTTGCTTCCTCTTGTATCTTTCACCTTTTCTAATAATCATGTTCACTTTAACTGCTAAGAAACAATTTTATCTTAACTAAACTATTGCGATTATTACAATTTTTTAATACTGTTCATTTGTTTTAGGTGATAAATGTTTTGATATCTTTATGTTCACTCATTAATAGATTGTATACTCAAATAAAGGAGTTACAGAACACCTGACAGTGCTATTTAAAATGATATAACTTCAGAAAATACTTATGGTTGATTAAGACAACTACAAAGTGATAATCATTGATTGTTTGGGTTACAGCCCATGGTTTTGATGGGCACAGAGCCTGACAGGAAAAGGCAACATAGAAACACTAGCTCCTTCCTTAACAGTTGTGATTCTGGTCCTTGTTGAAAGTAGTCATGAAGATATCCCCGTGAATGAAGAAAATTGACTGTTAAAATTTAGTGTAAATAACAAACACCACCATGGCCATTACAATCTATCAGCAGTAACAACAAATAGAGGATTGCTAAACATCAGGGCAGATGGACATGGCTTTGGATCCTACTTCCATAACTGCTCCACTTTAAGACATCTGTAAATTATTTAAATACTCCATGCTTCCATTTCTTCATTTGCAAAATAGCTAGTATGAAATGTGTGTCACCTCACAATTTAACTTAAATTTCTTGATCTGTAAAATGGGACAGAGTATGCCCATGTTGTGGGGTTGGTGAGATAAGTATGTAAAGCACTAGGCACTAGGAAATAAGAGCAGAATAGATATTATATGCCATTTATCAACCTACTTCTTAGTCTATACCAAACATTTAAGTATGTTATTTTACTTAATGTTCAGAAAACTTTGAATTTAGTATTATTATTCCCATTTTGCAAATGAGAACACTGAAATTAAGGTACTTACCAAACTCTGCAGCTCATATATGTGATATACCTGACTCCAGTTCCCCGTGTTCTTAGTCACTGTTTTGCACAGCCTCTCAATAAATATTAAAGTGTCTAATAAAATTTAATTCCCTTTCATTTTTTTCTACTTTTCAGTAAAAAAGGTGAGCCAGGAGCAAAGAGAGTGAGCCAGGAATAATGAGTATTAGTTTGGCAGAGGAAGGTAGGGCTGGTGTTTGGGGTATTCAGCACTATTACTATTACTACCATCTGTGGCAGGGGTGTCCAACCCGTGGCTCATGGGCCAGATGCGGCCCAGGATGACTATGAATGCATCCCAACACAAAATAGTAAATTTACTTAAACATTATGGGATTGTTTGGGGCTTTTTTTTTTTAGTGTTTGTGTATTTAATGTGTGAGCCAAGATAACACTTCTTCCACTGTGGCCCAGAGATGTCAAAAGTGTAGACACCCTTGGTACAGGATTTGGGACCCTTGCCTCCAGCCAGCTGTCAGCTAACAGTCTTATCAATCTGCCACACCCTTGACCTTTTCCTAATGCTTATTTCTATGTAATATTAAATGTGTACATTACAGGATGGCCAACACTGAGCTCCTAGCATATAGCCAGCCTGAATGGCAGAAGCCACCCCTCCTAGAACAAAGCTCTGTGCACAGAACACACAGCAGGGCATGTCACCGGTAAAATGAAACACCAACCACAAGCGGAAAGACAAAATTGCTTAGCAAACCCTATGTGAAGAATAAAACAGAATTCTGGACCTCTGGACTTTTTGAAAAATGAGAGTATATTTTAAAACTATCTTACCTGACACAATCAGTGAGAAAGTAGTATATTAGTGTCATGGCTGGACCAGTGTGTCAGAGACACCCATGAATGTGATGGCTTGAACAAGAGAGAATGTTAACAGTCCAGGCATGGTAAAACAGCTCTGCCATCTTCAACGTGGGACTTCCATCTCATGGGTCTAAAGTGGCTGCCCCCTGCTACCAGCAAGACAGGAAAGATGAGGAGAGTACCCATTTCTATCAAGACCTAGAAATGGTGACTTCCAGCCAAGATGGAGGCATAGGTAGATACACGTTGCCTCTTCGCACAACCAAAACAAGGACGACAACAAATTTAAAAACAAAAAACAACCAGAAATGCCAGAAAATCAAACTGTATGGACATCCAATAACCAAGGAGTTAAAGAAGAAACATTCATCCAGACCAGTAGGAGGGGCAGAAACGGACAGCTGGGATGGAGAGAACCCACAGCAAGGTGGCAGCTCGTGGACTGGGTGGTCTCACATTTGATTGCACCAGGAGGAACAACTGGGAAGTGAGATAGAGTGTGCAACCCAGGGTTTCACGCAGGAAAAGAAAGCCTCAACGCCACTGGCTGTAAAAATCTGTGGGGATTGCAGTGGTGGGAGACACTCCCAACCTCACAGGAGAGTTTGTTGGAGAGACCCACAGGGTCTCAGGACATGCACAAGTCCACCCACCCAGGAGTCAGCACCAGAAGGACCCAATTTGCTTATGGGTAGCGGGGGAAGTGACTGAAAGTGGGACGAGAGCTGAGCAAGTGGCATGGTTCCCCCTCTGACCCCTCCCCCACATAGAGCACCACAGTGTTGCTGCGGGGACAGAGAACATTGTGGGGAAGCCTGGGGTATGGGCACTCCTAGGTCCGAGGTTACTGTCCTGAGCCAGCTGAGAAGGGAGTGGGGTTCTGAATCCCGCAGAGCCTGTCCCAGGGGTGTAATAGATGGGGGAAATAAACACAAGTCGTTACAAACACTTGTCTGTTTGCCAGGAGAGGGCACATGGCTCTTCCCTCTAGTGGAGAAAGCCCCAGGCCCCTTTTTCCAAAGACTTTTATTGAAAGGGTTATCAGTGGGGCTAGGTAACAGGAATGCACAGGTTATCTCATTACATCAGTATGTTAATGTTTATAGAGAATAGATGATGTTTTGAAGAAAACAAATGGCAGAAACGCACTAATTTACATGGGTTTGAGAGGAGACTAGTAAACATGAGAGCGCTGAAGGGTACAGGGTTATGGTCTGTCAATAATGTAAATTTCCTTCCCAGCATGAGCTGGCTACCATATCTTTTGAGGGAGAAACAAAGCATGCTTTAAAGAATTTACTTTTAGGCCTGATTTCCCCTGGAAACCACGAGATCCAGTTTAGCACTGTCTTCAGTATTGTTTTGAGCCTGAGCCAGGCAGGGGCAGGGAGCCACCAAGAGACAAGGAGACTTCTTTCAGATAGAATAAGAACTCCAACTAT